AGAAATTTAAGTAAATATCAATAATTTATTATAATTATTTTAAATTATATAAATATAAATATAATAAATTGCAAAATATATTTTAAATCCGTTTTATTAAAGAGTTAACCTACTTGCATATTATAAAACAAAATAGTTATTCTCAGTTTTTTTAATTTACTAACCACAGTTTTCATAATTGAACTTTTTAGAATTTTACTAAAGGAATTCAATCTTATGTTCAAATATAAACAGCAAATTGAATGAATAACTTGTATTTTGTGAGGACCACAAAAATATGAAAATGATGAGCTCGACGTATCTGGTGATGAGTGGTATAATATAATATATACAATACTCATATTTGTAGCATTTTGATTTTGTATTGCTTATATTATTTTAACCTATTTCTTACAAACCAAAAAATATTAGTCAGTTCTGATTTCATCAAAAACGTCATTATGTTATTACACATCAAATGAAAAAAAACAATTTTGAGTTACTTTATTATTCAAATGATTGAAATAATTTTATAATTAAGTTTTACGTGATTTATTAACAATAACATAAAAATCAATTACCATAAATAAATTCTTATTTCACCAAAATATTAAGCATATAAATATAAACATTTAAAAAAAAAAAATCTTTAAAAATTAAAATTTTAGAAAAATTGAGCATTTTGAAGTTTTTTAACCAAAATTTCTAAATAAAGTTTGTGCGACTTTCTTTAAAAATGCCATCAAATTAAGTATCCAAAAAACACATTTAAAACAAAAATTTCTTGGTATTTAAACTGCATTTGTTCCAAAATAACTAATTCATGATCCAATCATAAATTGGTACGTAGATATTTATGAAAAAACTGAACTTTATCTTTACCTTCACGATTATAGCAACTAAATGCACAATTGCACAATACGTAACAGGTATTATAATATAAAAAATTAAAATAATATAAATTATAGTCGAGATTTTGGGTGAATAATTAGGCAAATTATCATATAATTCTATGTAACACAAACGTTCACTGACCCAAGTAAGGATAGCAGCCACTGGCGTTATGCTCTTATCAGCTGAGTTTGCAATTTAGTTTATACTTTATATTATCTGTGGTTTGTCCATAAGGGCCGTACATTTATTATTACTAATATCTTTTATACATTTGTGTTGATGTGATTTATTTTCAAGTTTTATACTTATTGATTATTATTTAAATCGTGTATTATACAGCAACTTATAATTAGCCAAATTGTTCATTATTACCATAATTTTTTTATTGAGTATTTGAGTTAGCTTTTTATTAGTTTGAATTTTTAACACGCGGACACACATACATACTTATACACAAATATATTACATATTCTGAAATACGCGTTAAAAAAAATTTTAAAAATACTTGACAGTATTTGGTCGGCAATCCCGACCACTGCTGTTTAAGCTATTTGCCACTTCATACTCAGCTATTCCTCCACATACAGATCTAGGTGTTGGTGGGTCACAAAACTAAATTAGTATCCGGGCGCGCGTATAACTGCTGTATGTTCCTAGTCCGTGCTCTTATTCTGCAGTTATATCGTATAAATTATAGTCAATATGAGACATGTTATACAAATAATAAATAATAATATCGACATTATCGATAATACGAGCGTCAAAAGCACCTATCTATTATAAGTCTGTTATCATCTTTTGGATCAGTTAAAATGCTTTGACTCTCTACTTGGAGAGTTTCTGGTAACAAAGTGAATCTATATTGTTGGTACTTTGGATAATAGTATTCATCGTTTAATTATAAATAATAATATTGTTCGTGAAGACCTAAACTTTTACGTATATCATACATTTTTTTATACGCAATGAAATGTTTAAAATGTATAGGTTACTTTATAGATAACACTTATTTATACTATGAACATATTTTCAGTGTTTTGTGGTAAATTAATATTAACTCTAGAGTAAATAACAATAATATATATGATATAAATTCAATGTATTATTATTAAAATAATTAAATATTAATAATATAAAGAAATGCAATGTTTTCGCCAAAAATTAAATCAACCAATCATCGTTACCTAATCACAATTTGGATTTCTACTGTCCGTGAAAATACGATCCGTCTATTTTTACTCCAGAATCCTACAACCCGTAAAATTACTTTCCGGGATTAAACATGCGTCCAAATATACTCAGTCTTAACATATGAACTGACAGATTGTCTCCGCTCAAACCCTTTTTCATACATAATATAGTACAAATTTATCATTGTATGTATAATAAATCAATTTATCAACACATTTATTACAGTGATTCAATCAACACTTAATGGCAGAAGAGTGGTACCAACATTTTACCTTCTTTTTTTTTTTATATTAAACTTGATAGTTTTGTAAGAATAACTTATTATTTTGCTGCGAGTACTTGACGTTTATTACAGTAATCAATAGTATAAGTATATCGACATATTCTCAAATTATATTAAATTTAACAGTAGGTAGTAATAGTATTATAAAGAAACTTACTAGCAAACTACAAGAAAAAAACCTATTCTTAGAAAATTAAATGAACATTTATATTAATATGCATATTAATATTTCAAATATTTATCTCGGTAAGCTTATATTTTAAATTCAGTATCAAGTATTATTTTAGTGTTTAATTATTATTATTGTTATTTTCTATAAACAATGACTAATTGGCGTCCACTTCCATGATAGTTTTTATCATTTTTATCCACGCCTTATTTAACTTTTAAATTGACAGTCCTAAAATTTAAAGTCTGTAAAATTAGAAAAAAAATATGTGTAGGTATTTGGCAATCTTGCAGTCATCAAAGTAGACTCAAAAATGTAAACTAATGTTCAGGCATTCAACTCGTCTTAATAAAATACTTTTTTCAAACAAAAACTAATTCGGTTATAATGCTTTTAACATTTTTTTTTTATATTCTTCAAATATTGTCTCAGAATAGTTTCTATTAATATAAATAGTCCGTCGATAATAATTCACGATTTATTATAAAAGAAACATCGATTGTTATTTTATTTAACTAGGTACCTAATATTATATATACAAGTGAATACTAAAATATATTATACCTCAAATCTCAGTCGTGTTTCATAATATGGTTCATTAAATATTATTATATGTTTACCATAAATTATACGTAATTAAAGTGTTTAAATCATAAACATACCTAAGTACTATAATATATATTATTTTATAATGATATAATCAAAATCATAACTCAAAATGAGTTAAATGAGTATTTGAGGACCAACGATGTTTCAAATGTTAATACTGGAATAATTAATGGTATTCTTGTTTACATTGTATTTTTGGTGAATCTAGATCTGCAGTCTTTCATCTAAATTCATTATTTTAAAAATAATGTTTATAATTATTGTTTTAAAAAAAGGTAACAAAATATTTTTAATTATGAGGGTTATGTTCTTACAAAAATAAAAGAAAAAATAGAATAAAAAAAGGTTCCAATACTTCCTACAAACTGTTAAAAATTTAGTTATAAAATAGAACCACAGATCATTTACGTCTGCATATGGACATAGATATGGTTTAAATGGTATCAAATTACATTTTTTTTTAATGTAAAACTAAATACGGATTAATAACTAATTTATATTGATGGAAGACATGTACAGTTTAGGGTGGTTCTTATTTTTTAACTTTCAAATTTTTTATCGGGCACTCTTCCATTTTGTTTATTACTATTAAAAAATAATTTAGGTTAAATTTGATAATGATATCTCACCCCCTTCACGTACCGCAAAATAGTTAAAAACTACTAATGACAGTTGATTTTCTGTTTTTCGAATTTAAACCAAATACTATAAAATCCACATAAAAACATATAGAATCTTAATCGTAGAACATTTTATTACCTACAAAAAATATTCTTACACAATTTCTTGTAAATCCTTAATTTTCCGAGAATTTGTTAAATAACCCGACTTTATGTTTATTTGGAAAATTTGATTTTTTTATGGTTATTCTAATATATTTGACGTATTATTGAAATCATGACAGTCATTTAAATAAAAAAAAAATTTAAAAAAATATAGTATTATAATTTATAAGTAAAATTTGCATTAGACCAATAACTTTGTTTTTACAATAGGATTTATGCAATATTTTATTAAACAACTCTTTTCTATCACTATGAAGAACCAAAAAACATAATTATTATTTTATTTTAAAGATTATTTCATAGTAAAGTTTGATACTTAAATATTTATTTTAAAATAATTTCTTAAAACCATTATTAAGTTGAGTATTTAGAGATTAAATTAATTATTGAATTATTAGGTATATGGCGTTTTTAACTTTTCTCGGCTATGCCCTAGGTATTTACGACGATATAATCTTGCACAGTCTGAAATCATTTAAAATGTAATTCAAATATTAATTATTTATTTAAACACAATTTATAATGAGTAATGACTATAGTTGTACTTTCTATACTTATTATTTATATTAACAACTTACTTTCAATAAAAATTATTTTTGGTCTTCATTTTTTGTTATTTTATCATTGAATTCTTCCATAAGTTTTACTCCACATTCAGCTGTATCATTTACAATCGTAAGTGACCTAATAGTGTGTTGACCTAGGATGTTGGTGATTTTGTGTGTTCCATTCTGATGTACACATTTATTTTAGTAGTTCTTTAGCTCGGTATTATCGGAAATAGTCATAGCATTGTAATTTTTGTAATAACATTAATTACTGAAACTCGGTTTACTAGTGATCTCAAATAGGTACTGAAAATACCGAGTACCAGTAAATAATAATTACCGGTAAACCTGAAATACCACCAGCTTTAATTAGATGTACAATATAAGATAGTGCAGTGTAATTTATAATATTTAGCAATATTACATTTGTTATTGTATTAACAATAAAATTATATTCTATATTTTCTAAACTGACATAATACTATGGTCTATGTTCCACTGCACTATATAATCTCACACTGTTATATTACTTCCCTGCGCAGAAGTACTTGGTGTCAGTGGACGACACGGGACGATTGGTGTGCGCGAACGGTCACCACTGTTCCGCGGCCGACTGCAGCTGTTGGATACTGTCCGTGCCGCTGGCCGACGACTGTCACACGTACAATTGCCGGCTGTCGCTTTTGGCCGTCGGTACCGTAGGTCTGCACACCACCGCCGCTGTGATGCCCGGACAATCGCTCAAGATGTGGTTTCCGCCCGATCTCCAACTAATGCTGCACGTGCCATTTCTCACGCCCGTCAACATAAAAGGTGAGCTATACGACACGTCACCGAGGCTGCAGGCTGGGTATTATGCTCTGCGAATCTAAATTGCGCGCTTAATGTATCAAAAATATAAATTATAAATATACCTATGGTATGAATATAATTCATTTAACGGAAAACAATTATTTCAAAAAACACCAGCGTTTTTAAAAATATTTTTTTTTTACGCAATGTTAAAATGTTAATTTTTTTCAATTGTTTATTATTGGATGACAATACATATTTCATTTCATATTCCAAAGCAGAATATTATTTAGAATTACTCAGAGTATTTTAGTAAATAAAAATCAAATTTCTGACAAGTGACAAGTAGTTAATTACTATTTACTAACCTAACCAAGCCTTGTCGTCACCTTATATCGTCATTAAAAGATGGTTGACTCGGCCATTCGTTGAAATTACATTCTGTCTAAAATTCAGTTCTCCCAGCTAATATAAAATAATAATTTTGGAGTAATATATTTTTTTTTTTTAAACCATTTATACAAAACTTAAAATAATGAAACATAAGAGGAAATAAATCAAGAATACAGATAGTCATTATAGATGTTATTTTGGATTAAACAAAATGTTTAAGTTAATTTAAGTAAATGTTTAATTGTTTAAGAACCATAAGGTACAGAACTAAAACTAAGCAGACCTCTGATTCGACCAGTGGTGATGCGTGGATCTGAAACTTAGACGATCCATAAGTATAATATAATAATTTTTTAATATTTGATTAGAAAATTCTTAGATTTTTTTTCTTTGACTTTCCATATTAAACTGTAAAATACATACATTTATCGACCAGTTCAGCACAATATCTAAAATTAACTTTAAAATTATTGTATTGAATTAATTTTTAAGTACATAACTTATGTCTTATACCTACACAGATCGTAATACTTATTACATTTATTAACTAAATGAACTTAATTAATAATTATTCACTAGAATTATAAATATTTATAACATACTTAATGTAAATCATTTTTTTTTTCTAGACGAGAGAAAGTATGTGTGTCACAAATGTGGTTACACGTGTGAAAAACCTAATCCACTAAAAATTCACATGGCACTAGACTGCGGCAAACGACCGCATGCTAAACTCTGGTCTAGGCTGACGGCCGATCATTGCGAAAAGAACCAAACAATCGAAGCTTCGTTTCGGTTCAGTCTAACGTCAGCTGAGTCACGGGCGCCCTTATCGTCCATCTCCACAGACTCAGCGTTCCGACCTTACTCACCCGAATCTTCGGCAAGTAGTAGCGGCTGTCCGATACCACCGTCACCACTGAGACAACCACCACCAGCAACGCCATCGTCTTTGTCGTCCGACCAAACGCAACTACAAGACGAACCTCTTGGACAAGTGATCGGGGGCAAAGACTCGGCGTTCTTTAATCAGCGTTGTGCTGAGATGGAAACCATCGTCAGCAACCTTGGCCACTCCGACCAAGGACACCTATGCATATACTGCGGAAAAGTCTACTCCAGGAAGTACGGACTCAAGATTCACATCAGGTTAGGTTACGAATATACTATATTATAGTATTTTTTTATTTCTGTTTTGAAATGATGACAATGACATGGGAACTACTTTCGAATTATTTTCGCGACGTCGCCATCGTTTATTTGAATAATTTTGATTGAGACATAGTATTATTTAATTTTATATTTCTCGGTTATTTTCTTTAGGAGCACACATATTTTAAAGTTTTGTAATACATTTTATGTAAGAAAAATACATTTATAGCTTAGTATTTTGCAGTTAGCACCAATTTTAGTTTGGGTAGTTTACCTTTTGTCTCTGTCTTTTTGTTGTTGTTCATCGTCCCAAGAACCGCTTGAGCCATTATGTATGTGGTGGCCTCGTTCGTGACACTTTTACCCTTCAATTGCGATCACATATAGACTGCGCGAGTACTGTTGCGTGGGTGTCCTACTCGTGCCCCAAAGCAGATGGCCTCTGTGGGGCAGTTTCTGATGAGGTGATTAGGGTGCAGATAAGTCATTGGTTAGGTGCTGCACTGCTGCTTTCCGCTCGTCTCTCAAAGTCTTGTCTTCTCCGAATACTGGATCCACTGGTATGAATTTTTTATAGTTTTCTTTCTGTTTCCTCCATTCTATAGTTTTAATGTGTTAGATACTCGGTTATAAGCATGTTCAGTCAATGGCGCCGTACGACGACTAGATCTGTGCACCCTATCTTTCGCCTCAATCGCAATTACCTAGATGGTGACCAGTCGTATTTTTAAGCACAATAATTTTATTTTTATATAATTATACTTCAGATTTTTAAAATTTTTAAGTACCTATCTATCACTTTACTATTTTTTAAGTTTTCCTAAAGATTTCACAAACTATGAAAAATAGTAGGTACCTATACATAGTACGATGCTCGCGGTCTACGTATTATTTTCAACTACAATAAATTCTAAATAACTATTTAATACCTAATTTATTATACGAGGGATGGACGTAATAATAATGATTTTCCATGGGGCAGGAGCATCACCAAACCTAAAAATAGCCTCGAGACAGTTATTTGTACGCTTCTGTGTTCGAACATAATAACTAGAAAATCAGCTGAGATATAGATATTACATTAATATTTGTAACTAAAGCAATAATTATTAATTATTAGCCTTAGTTTAGTATGTGTATACTATATAGTGTACACCCATATTAAAGTAACTTCTAGTTTCTACGCCACTAAATACGTTACTCACTGCATTGTCATATTATAATGTAGATTTTGACATTTAAATTACATCGAATTATAATTTAACTGTCAAAGAATTTAATGAAATATTATATTTTACGCAATAAATGGGTATGATAGAATTAAACTTAGAAATATATAGTTGTTTTTTGCTGTTTCCAATATAGAACTCACACTGGTTTTAAGCCGCTAAAATGCAAGTATTGCTACCGACCGTTCGGCGACCCAAGCAACTTAAATAAACATGTGCGGTTGCACGCAGAAGGAGATACTCCTTACAAGTATGCTCTTAAAACACATTTTCCCCCTAATTTATATAACTATATTTTAATCGCAACTTTCGTTTTATTTATATAGATGTGATTGTTGCGGTAAAATCCTAGTACGCAAGAGAGACCTTGACAGGCATATGAAGTCAAGACATGCACAAGTTATACAAAAAACTATATATAAAATGCATGTATCCATATGACAACGCACTTTTTCCTGAATTGTGCTGAATTTATAGTTGATTGTTAAAATTGTTGTGATATTTTTATCTTAAAATTAAAATGTATTTAATCATTTAACACGATATGAGTACAATTATTTAAAGATTAAATTTAACGAGACGATATTTAAATTTAGCATGCTCAATAGAACTTTGTAAATTTATAATACTATAAATCTGTTATTTTGTACACATAGTTTAATAAGTTTTTTATTAAATATATATTCAATACATTCATTGGAAAATATTAAATAAATTATTATTTTATATTTCTTTATAGCTAATATTGCCATATTGGCCATTTTGATAAATTTGAATAGCTTGATTGTAAATTTGTAACACAAGGTTTGGGTTAAGGATAATTTTAAAGCGAGTAGAAGAAAAATTATCTTTATGTTCTAGTTGTAGATTACGACACTCATCATTCGATATAATATATGTTTAACTGTAATCATAGGCGTACGCAGACTCCAAAAGTACGTAGTGTCCATACTCCATATATTAGGTATTATCGGCTATTTATATTAATACTATTAGACCTTTTTTTAAAAGTTTAATATGCTTTTAATATACACATTATAAAAAGATACAAGTTGCACACTTTCGTATATCATTTCTGAGAGAGTAGTTATGGCTGGTTACAATTAAAAAGAAAAAATAAATGAATAATTATATTATTGATAATAGATGTCAGATGATCACAAGTTTTACTTAGTAAATTGAACAATTGGTTTCTCAGTACCTAATTACAATTAACTCATAATAATTTTTAATATATAATATTAGTCACTACACGACGTCTACGTTATACTATATACAGACTTTCAATAATAAAGTGTACCACAGTAAATTATCCTGTTTTCATTTTTACTATTAAATTTAAATTTAAAATTTATTTTGGCGAACAAGGTATATTTATTATAATTACTATTGATAGATGAGAAATTTGATTGAGACATTGGGCATTCCGGCCCATGAAATTCACATCAAGGGAAGGCCAATATGAATACATATAAAACCATAATGTACCATTAAGACTCTTATGAAAGTACTGATAATTCACAACCCACTTATTTTTTCATTAATTTTATAAAATATTAGTCATTAAATAAAAATAGTATACCCCTAGACTAATATTTGGTATGCCTAGTTCGTATACCAAATATTTTTATTTTTTTTTTAAGTTTGTACAGTAGTTTTTTAAATATTATAATATAAATATAGTGCCAAACTATTCAAACAATTTTCAGTAATAGTACTGAAAAATGAGGAGCATATCTTTTAAGTGAAGTGATATAAATCAAATACTTATAAAACATAATTAATAATTATTGAAGTAGTAGTAAAAATAAACAAGATATTATAATACAAACTTAAAAGACTTTTCAACGATGTATGCAGAAATGAAAATGTCTAATAAATACTCTAAAGTCTAAATACTCAAAATATTGATCCACTGGCCTCAGCAATGTGTACTCTTTGAACATCCATTCCTATACTATATAAGTGAATATATCATGTAGATACTTGGAATTTTCACAATGTTATTATATTTTTAAAAACTGTCATTTTAGTTTCTACTCTAAAATAATTGATAATAAATTAGTAACTATGTCAAAATTCTTGAAGATTTAATACAAAATCCCAAAAATTGTTCTTATATTATAAAAAAAATATTAAAAATAAACATATAATTATTTTTTATAGACATTTAAATTCAAATTTGGACGAAATTACTCATTTAAATTATGTTAACTATTCTGTTATGAATATTGCTAATGACATTTTTGATATTAACTATTTAAACTATGAACCTATTTTTATTGATTTGCAATATTTAAGGAAATATATGAATATATTTTGTTATAGGAGTTGGTATATAAATTATAATAATTAAATATCTATATCATAAATTCAATATTTTCAAAAAATTGGTAAAATAAAAACAACTGTATTAAAACAATATACACTTAGCGATGATAAAAGGTGAGAGACACTCTATGATCAGAATCAATATATTGCTTTACAGCAATCATTAAATTTAAATTTAACAAACACCAATTTGAACCACACGACAGACTGTACAGTAGAGGGTAGTACTCACTTACCTACCTACTTAAAATGTTATTGTTATCTTATTAATAACTTAATTTCACATCAATAATAACTGTCTATTAAAGTATAAAAAAATTTAAAAAAGTAGAAGTACCCATTGTTATTTAAATAAAAATAAAATTATTCATAAATGTCATAACAAGAAAACTAATATTATGATAACGTATTTATGTAAACAATTTTCAGAAACAAAAAAATGTTATTATGTATAATTTAGGATCAAACATTGGAATATAATAAAAAACCAATTGTATGCATATTTGTAATTTATAAGTCATTTATTAAACCACATGAAAATGTAAAAACAAGCTTTTAACGTCTGCTTGACTTGGTCTTCGCAGCCAAACGCTTGTCACGTTCTTCAGCAATAGTTAATTTAACTCCTTTACTCCTTGGCAGAGAAATGTAGTTCTTTTGACCTTTTCCAATAATAAAAACGTTGTTCATCCTAATAAAATAAACAAATTTTTAGCACAAAAATAAAGATGTAATTTAATAATATTAATACTACACATTTTGTGTGGATGAGTTTCAAAGCACATAATTCAAATTAATTAACTACAACTATACTCTGTATAGTTATATGAGCTACCTCAGACAAATTTTGATTCAGTTTCAGTCAGACCACAATTATCAACTAAATATCAGTTTTCATTGTCATTAATAGTTTCTAATACTTTCAAAAAAGCACCTATATCAAGTAAATCTTATCAAAAGTTAAATTAAATATTTGTTAGTATAAAAAATTACATTCACAAATACCCTGCATTAGACGTTTTAAGCAGCTAAAATTACCACCATAGGTTACAACAATACAGTAAATTCCATTAATTTTAAAAACCGTACTCAGCGGCTGCCTACTGCACATGGTTAGGTTACCTAACCTAATCATAGCTTTGTTCCTAGCTGCAATTATAAAATTTTAACAGTTGTTCAACTTTCAAGAGGTTCAAACTCATAACAGACAAAAAAAATTAATACTGGGTATTATTTTCAAAATGAATAGAGTATAACAGATGTCTCCAATCTATAGTTTGGTCAGGATAATTAATGTTTTGAAAATAATATATTAGTTGTCTTTGTTTTTGATTTAGTCCTCTAATAACAAACATTTTTGGCCTGCAATGTCAAAATATATTTTAAATTTGGCTTGCCATAAAAAAAGATTGGAGAACCCTAGAATATAATCTAGTTAATTAACATATGTAACACACATATAATTATCTTTATTTTTATTACATCCTACCAAGATATTTAAGAGCTAAGTTAGTATAATTAAGTGATTAATAGTCAATGTAAAAATAAAATCCATAAATATTTATTTTTTAAACAAGTATTATTAGCTTTAAACATTTATAGATAGTGTAGAGCAATTCTACTTTTATTTTTTTTTATAGTAAATGTATTGTTATATAAATTTGATATTATTTTATTAAAAGCTGAAATTTTTCTAGTTATTGTTGCTACTTTTATAAGTGTTCTTGAAGATAATGGCAATGAGGACATACTGCTAGTCATATATAAAATTCATAGAAAAATGGGAGTGCAGTCAAAATACAAACAAGATTTGGAACACACAATATTTTACATACTAAAATAAAAACTTCACAAAATGTCAAAAAAATCACCTTTTTAGCAATATAAAATTAAACAAAATTAAAAGTCAAGACAATATAATACAGTCGTCTTAATAACTCCATTTTTTTTTTATTCCTAAGAAATTCTTATATACACAATGCAATATTTGTCACAATAAGTCAAATGTAAAAATAGTTCATAGATAACTGTTATATCTTAAATTTTAACATTAGAATAATCAGTTTACAATCATAAATGTACAAATGAAACTATCACTATGAATATTTACTGTAAAATAATACAGTTGCCACATATCTTTGTTGTATAGCGTGTATATTTTGTAGTAATGTCTCTTAAAAGTAAATTGGTTACATTGCCATAATTGCTGAAAATGTAAACATAATAAGTAAGGTAACTAAAAGTGGTAAATTTAAAAACACCACAGTATACATTTTCAACCATTCTTAAAATAAAGATGATATTTTATGAAACTAATCAAGGGCCTATAAGAATGAAGATTTAAACATTCCAATAAATATATCAATTTGAAAGGAAAATGCTGAATTTTTGAAATTAAACTTGGCCCCACAAACAATTTAAAGTTAGTCAAGGTTGGTTAAGCAATTGAAAAAAAAAGTAGAAACAATGTTATTTTTATAAAATATATAATGAAAACAGTTTAGTTGAGCAATTAATATGTAGTGACTGGTTAATAAAATAACATCTAACTCAAATTATTTCACATTTTTTTAAAAAAAATATAGAAGTTGAATTAATTTTTATCTCCTATAAAAAATTAAGAGTTAAAGACTCGACTGTATAACAATCTGACACTCAAAAAAAAAACTTTTTAATAAAATAAATATAAAACTTACCGAGTAGCAAAAATATGTTCATTTGCATCTTTAATATGAACAATATCAAAAGATCCTGGATGCCTTTCCCTGTTGGTAACAATACCAACACGCCCCAAGTTACGACCTCCAGTAATCATGCACAAGTTTCCTAACATAAAAATATCAACATTTAAAATCAATTCTCATAACACCATAATTTTCTAAAATAAATATTTAATTTACCAGTTTCAAAACGGATATGATCCAAAATTTTAGATGATGCAATGTCGTATCTAATAGTATCATTAACCTTGATGTTTGGATCAGGGTAACGGATAGTTCGGCCATCATGAGTTGTTAAAAATGGCACACCTTTGGGTCCAGTTTGTACCCTCTTTACTTTGCACAGCTTGTACTACAATACAATAAAAACAATTAAATTAAGTACCTATAATTTGTACATCAAACAATTACTTTTGCTTCTTCAGGAGTAATTCTATGAATGGTAAAACGACCTTTCACATCATAAATCA